TGAAAAAGTAAAATGTTAATAGATTTCTTTTATTTTAATATAATTTAATTTTATAAAATATTTTGTATTAAATACGTTATAATTTTTTAATATTAAATTTAATTAAATTATTACAGTTTTATTAACGTTTAAATTACACGTCTGTAAATTATTAGAAAAAAAAAATTATTTTTTAATTAATTTAATAACTTTAAATCACAATGTATTATATTAAAATTAGATCTCCACAATATTAAATTTGATTTTGCATGATAAGATTCAATATTTTTTCATATTACTTTGTATGTATAAGTGTGTGTGTATTGCATTATCTTTTAGAACAATACATTAGCTTATATATAAGAATTACTTTATAATGATAACTATTTTCTTATATAAAATGAGATACATCGTAGGTGAATTATTTGTAACATCTCGAACCCGAAAACTTAACTTAGCTCGAGACGATGAAATTTATTTTTTATTTTTTATTTTATTTTATAATATAAAGTACATGGTTAAATTTTAATTATTTTTTGAACTATATGTATTTTGGACATTTTTAAAATAATTTTTTAAAATCATGGCCAAATTGTAAAAAAAAGAGGGAGTACTTTTGAAATGAAACTGAGAAAACAGGAGTCAATTTGTAAATTAAAGAAAATAGGTTACGTAGGACGGTCACGTTAGCAATATGGCAAACCACGGCGCGCCACGTGGCGGCCGCGTCAGCAAGTGTTCCACGCGAAAGGCCAGGTGGGCGATCCATGTGCCACACAGATCCAATGGCCCACATCCATTCCCACTCGCATAAATGGTGAGATTCCAATCCCACCTTGATTCAAACAGATGGCTTTGATCAGTTGTGTGAAGATATAACAGTGGGGCGATGAATGGGTGAGATTCACTCCAGAGGATCGCAATGGATGACCTAGATTTGCACCCAGATCTGCTTAAAAGGATCTCTAATCGGACGACTCTCATCGCTCTACGATGACAGAAATGGATGGTCAGGATCAGGGGCTCCCAAACCCTAGCCGACACCTCTGACTGGAGAAGAAAAAGAAGGGCGGCCAGAGAAAAGCTCAGCCATCGGAGGGACGATGGCACTGTCGCACCAGAGACCCAAAAAGACGACAATAAGTGCGATTTTCTCCCATTCGTCCGGTTTTTTTATTGTAAGCTACCCACAACTATCTTTAATGCAAAAAAAACCCTAAGAAAAGGTCGTAACCCAAGGAAACAGAGGGCAGAGCTCGGTTGAGCCACCGCACCAGAAATCAAAAAATACCCCAGTAAGTTGAATCCTCTTCCCGTTCACTCTGTTTTTCCACCCTTTAGTCGCATAACTTATTTTCGATGCAAGGTGACTGAAAAAACCACAAACCGCAAGGAAAGGACGGCAGAGACCAGCTGAGCCACCGCACCTGAGATCGAAAAACACCTGTAAGTCTCGATTTTTCCACTGATAGACACCTCCTAATTATGAATTAAATAGGTTTTTATTGAGAACCGACTGAAAACGGCCTGACTGAGATGAAAAGCAGCCGGAAGAGGAGGACCCGGTGGTAGAGCACAGTGGTGCCGCCGTGCCAGAACCCCAACTTGACCCCCAGTGAAATTTTTTGTCCTTTTGGGCTGTTTTCACGTATTTTCACGCTATTTTGACATATATTTCAATTTTAGCAGAAAAAAGCTAAGGAATTTAGGAACCACGAAATGTCGAAAAGTGTAGTGAAAAAGGCGGTGTTTTAAACATCGACCCAGAGTAAGAATCTATCAATCATTTCCCTGTTTGGTAAAATTGAAGCTCAACTGATAAATAAACGGAAAAATTTAGTTAATTTGCGACCCTTTAACAGATTAAAGTACAGGTTGCCAATAGAGCAGGTAGACGGTTAAGTTACGTATGTTGAGTTTTAATTGCAGTAATTATCCTTACAGTTGTTTATTATGGTATTTTGTCCACTGTATTGTTTACTTTGATATGTTTATTCTAAATCTTATAGTAAACGTGGTAAGACCTCTCTATACATGTTGTCCTGTCATATAATTATGTATTTAATAGGTTTCTATCAGTATAATGCATGTTTATTTCATGTACTTACCCTAAAATATGAATTTATTACTCATGTATTGTTGGGATCTATATACGTGTCTCTTAATACTAAATAGTAAATAAAAAAAAAAGATATACATGAATTAATAGCGTCTAATAAATGGGCTTACCGAGTATCTTAGAAAAAAGTGTACAGACTTGCTATATAGAGTAAACCCTACTGTGAACGTTACTCTCAGTTGAACGAGAGTAAGAAATCTCATATTATGAGGGTTGGGAATTATTTTAATTACACTAATACCATATAGAATATTGAAGTGGTTGTGTGTTTTAGTCCCCATTAATAGACGAGCTATGGGGATGACTACTTGATTATAGAATAAATGTTCATGTTCACGTGTAGTAGGGACCCCTATGAACCCCTAATGGCACCGATAGGTAAGGTAAAATGATAAAGGTAAAGGTGATATGAATCCTGTAACACCCGAACCCGGAAATTTGGCCCAGGATAATTTAATATTAATGGAAAAATATATTTAAAATAATTTGATTTTAATTTTTATGAAATTTTGTTAAAAATTAGATTTTGGATGCATTTGAAAATATTTTTGAAAATCAAAACCAAAGTAGAAATAAGAGAGTACATATTTGAAAAGAAATATGAAAAACTAGAGTACAAACATTATTTTCAAAAATACTGCCACATCAGCAGCATGACAATTCAGAACTCGCTGCGTGGCGAATACGTTAACACCGGTTCCACGCATGAGCCACGTGGGCGATTCGCGTGCTTGAGTGATCCAACGGCCTAGATTGCATACTGTGTGCACGAATTGCTCGAATCTGTTTCCTCTTCAGACACGATCGGATGACTGGATTTGATTGCAATAGACAATCCAGATTTGTACACGCATCGGCCTAAACAAACATCGAATCGGACATTCCTCCTTGCTCCATATTGATGCGAATGAACGGCCAGGATCAGGAAAAGAGAGGTATTTAAACCTCTCATCAATCAGCTCCCAAAACCCTAGCCAACAACCCTAACTAAAGAAGAAGAAAAAGGGCAATCGAAGGGAAGCTTAGTCGCTGGAAGGACACTGTTGCCACCGCCGACGTCGAAAAAGGTAGAATTTTTCCCTTTTCGCTCGAAATTGAATTATGAACCTCCCCACACCCATATTGGAGCAAAAAGGGTAGCAGATGAGCCAAAAAATGCGAGCATAGCTCGACTGAGCTACCACGATCGCAACCCGAAAACCCCTCCGATGACCCCCTTCCCATTTTTTGTTTATTTCAGTTTTCTGACCATCGTGTTCCTCGTTTCTTTCTAGTGCAGGTTAGCTAAATAAAGATCCTAACCACAAAGGAGGTATGTCGGAGCTGC